CTCCAGAACGAGTAGCGAAGTACAGTATCCAATTTGAAATTATTTGTAGAAAACTTCCATTCTAGCTAAAATAAATCTATCACGATCCTGGTCTGTAAAATCTGCATATAGTTAATTTTCAACAGTAATTCCTAGTAATCAAAATAGAACTATCCGAATCGACTCTACAAAAAGAAACCTAAAAAAAATTTTCACACAGGGTGTTCATGTTCTTTGCGCGGCCTGCCAGAACAGCATATAGCCAGATCTGCAACAGTAATTCCAGCTACAAGTAAATGAACAAAAAAAAATCACATTTCAAAAAGAATACAAGACAAGGTGTTCAAGCCAAAAAAAAAAAAATAATACGCAATCACGGGACAAAAAAAAATTATTTTTGGATGCCCCCCTGAGTCCTCGCGGTGTTGTTAGAAGCCTCAGTTTCGGGGGCCCCACGTTGGGTGCCTCAGTTTCGGGGCCCCACGTTGGGCGCCATTTTCTGTTACGAAACTATTATAGTTGATGTTGAGGGGACGACCTGGCAAATCCGCCACTGGTTGGGGCATCGGCCACCAGCTACTCCAGTGTGCATCTGGCTGTGTCCCGGAGCTTCAGCCTGGGGTGGGTTTAATAGAAGTAGCCGGTTACCACCAATGGCTACGTAGCATAAATAGAAAAAAAAATTATGCACACGTTGAAAAAAAAAATACAAAAAAATTAATGCGATTGCAAAAAATAGTGAGGTTGGATTAAACTGGCACACCTTGTAGTGAACCAGAACGTGAAGCGTTGTGATAGGGTGCACCACACTGTACACCACTGTGCTGACAGGGTGACGAATCACCACTGTCCCGAGCCCTACCCTTCCATGAGTCTCAGATGTTGTTGAGACTCCCAAACTTTGCTCGAAAAAACCCCTAAATTTTGAACACCCTAAAGGGGAAAGGAATTACCACTCCATCATCATGTATCAAATTTTACATACAATTTCTAAATTCTATGGCCATTGATAGTATTAAAAAAGAAAGAAACACTTTTGAATATATATACATACATATACTTTGAGTTCTATTCAATTTTTATTTCAAATTCAAATTTTGTTCTGTTTTTTTTTTTCTTTTGCATAAAATTTATGTAAAAAAAAAATTTGCAATTTAATTTAAAAAAAAAATATCGTTAATAATAAAGAAAAAATTTTGTACAAATTTTCTTAACATTTGGTAATTTTTTTATATTTTTAGCTGCAGAAAAATCTTAATATTAAAATTTATATCGTTTTAAACCTTTTTTTTCTAAATAATTCGAATTTTAAAACATTGTTTTAACATTGTAAATTATAACATTAAAATAAAATTAAATTTTCATTTTAAAGTTGGAAGTACATAAAAAAAATAAAGAACAAATAATTACAGATATTATTAGATTTTATTAAGTTTTCAATCTCTTATCATGTACCTCCAAGTATTAAAATCTATACTAAGATTTTTCTTGCATAGTTGGAATATTTCATTATGGATCTAAGTATATGTTATTCAAATTACATGTTAATTTACAAACTAGGTATTTTATAAAAAAAATTTTTTTTTTTCCTAAGATACAAAAAAAAACAACTTAATCTAATAAAAAAAAACGAAGGACTGGGCCCAGTACTCACGTGCTCGGGGTTCCTCGGGACTCCATGATCGGGGGGGGGTTCCTTCCGTCATATTACATATGTGTGTGTTATTTAGATATACGTGTATTAACAAAAAAACGTGTCAGGCTTTTTCCTAATTGATAATTTTCTTTTATATATATATATACATAACACATATATATATATCTTATATATTCTTTACAAATTTATTTGATTGTATATATATATTATTATTATCTATTAATTTTAATGCTTTGAAATTTAAGAAATGCAATTTTTACTTTTAGTTACTATTTAAAATTTATGACTGTTCCTTTTTTTTTTTTTTTTGTATTTTTTTTAACATTATAATTTTTTTTGATAATCAGATCTCAGTTTGTTCTTTTAATATTTTTAAAAATAATTTAGATTTTAATTTCCTGAAGTTTATTTTGTCGCACTAGTATCACAGAATTCACTAGTGTTGACACTTTGATTTAAAATTCAATTATTAAATATTTAATTATCATTAAATTAAATGTTTCATATTTCTATTATAGAAGTTTATTATTTTAATATTTTTTTCTTTTTTTTTTTTTTTATATTAATGCGAAATTGAATTCATATATCCGGAAACAATGAAATTTTTACTAAAAATTCCATTGTTTGATATTTCTTAATTCTATTTTAAAATCTGATTATTTTTATTATTCCTATATTTTTGATTTATTTTAAAATGTTTGCAAGTTTTATAACAATTTTAAAAGTTTGTACTAAAGGCGTTTCTTTCTTTTTTTTTTTTTATTTTATTTTTAAGATTATTTATTTAATTATTTTTAATTCTTTAAAACCGCATCTATAGCTTTTCTATTATTTTTCGAAAAAAAAGCGATTCGTTTTTCTATTCCTGGCTATTTCGAAATTTTTAATTTTTCTTCACTTTAATTTAGATATTAAAATTTAAAAATTATTTGAAAGCGCTCACAAAAATCACTTTGAACACTTATTTATAAATTTATATTTTTCTTATTATAAATTTTCCTATCAACTGCTAAATTTTTACTGACCTATTTTTCAAACCAATTCAACATCAAGAAAAGAAAAAAAATTCCACTACTCATACATACATAAAAACTCCAAAATTCCTAACGGTAAGATCGTATGATATTTTACTGGAAATTTCGATTCCGAAGAAAAAAATATTCCTAATAGAAATAAACCAATAACAATAAATCAGATCATGACACAAAAAAAAATTTGCATGTTATGACATTTAACCCTAAACAGGATTCTACCTAATATTTAATACAATTTGTTCCTATGTAACACCAACATGATCATGCACACACCTATAATTCACATTAGAATAGTATATGCCATATAAGGGTTAGCAAAGAATTAGAATATTTCAAATTGAAATGAAAAAAAACTACAACAACAATTTGCATTATGCGTATGAGAAGAGAATAGAACGAAAAGGAACAATAAAAAAAATTACAAATACCAATAAGGTACAAGTATATTTATGCGTAAACATGCAAATCATGCGATGTACGACTGTACACTTTTTTTTTTTTTTTTTTTTGCTATGAATAGGTATGTTTATGAATAACAATGTGTATACATATACATAGGCTATATGCACGCATACAAAATTATTATGTTAAAGCAAAAAAAAAGTAATTCTTATAGAAAAAGAGGTATAAAATCTGACCACTGTTTTAAGTTGTATTATTGAAATAATTATTAGGGATGGGAATTTTAAATTGCGTTATTGCTACCTAGAATAGAGCAATTTATGTAAAATTAAAACTTATATGCATGTATGAAAAATTTCCTTCCATCTTGAAGTTAAATTTTTCCCATAAAAAAAAATTAGTTTTGCGAAGAAAAAAAATGTTAAGTGCTTATACCTAGCCCATAACAAACCGCAAGCTTTTTCAAATTCCTATAAACGCAAAAATCTAACGGTAAATTCCATGACATTAAAAAATATAATTGTTTTTCTAAAATAACACAATTAACCCTTAAAATCGAGCATTATGTTAACCCCACTTTATATTAATTTTTGCTTTATTTCAAAGACTGCATAAATCGTTCATCCTAAATATATGCAATCCTAGAAATAGTTTTGTGTATGAATGAAAATAATTTCAATAGTGTGATAGGTGTACATAGACTTTATTTAAAAGCAGAATTTTCACTTGTTGAAGGGAAAAGTGTTACAATACAAATTATTGGTCTGACCCAACTTTATTTGTAATCATTTTTGTTTTTTTACATTATTTTTGTTTTATTGTACATTCTCCAGGAGAATAGCTACGCATTTTTTAAAGCGGAAATCCATACTGCAATTTGACGCGGTGTGGTAAAAACGTTGACATTTGGTACATTGAAGTATTGGTGCTCTTAAAATTTTTTCTCAGTATACAATTTCATGATCAATTGTCCTTATTTTCAGCCATTCTGTTACCGGCTGTTGTACCAATTATAAAGATAGGGACAATTTTGTTTTCATTAATTGATTTTTTACGACAAGGCGTATCACTTTTTCAAAAATAATTGTTTCTGTTTACAAACTTTTTAGGATTTTTAAAATTTTTTCACAGCTAGTTTCTCCGTAATTTTTTTTCATCATATGTGCATATGATACATTGTTTTTCATTATAGTCTTTTATTAGAAAGTTTTAAATGTAAGAGATACATTAGACATCTAAATTTATTTTTATTGTTTTTTAAGATAAACAATTTCTACATCTCATACATAATAGTTTCTACTCGTGGATGTGAATACTATTTTGAATTTCATTAGCGGCAATATTTGTCGGGATTTTGCTCATGACATTACTTGGTTGGACAATTTCAACTTCTTTCATGCTGGTATAATCCATCTCAGTTGTATCGTGTACCAAATTTATTTGAATTTCACCAGGCATTTTGCTAATTCGCCCTCATTAAAATAGAACTAATTTTTGTTTTTGGTAATATTGTTACAAGTACAAAAATGTGTATAATTATAACTTTTTCTTTTTTTATTGGTGTTTTTTATTTATAAACAGTTCATATGATTTTTATACAAAAATTTTATACATGTTTTTTTTGATATTACTTTTACGTAATTAGTAACACAAAGTGTATAGGTCCGATTTCTTGAGAATGCTATACTCATCTCTTAGTTTATTTACGCTTTCCTACTATGGAAAAGCACGCTCCCACCGAAAAGTGGACATCTAAAATTTGGTGCCATCACATAACCTATCCTATTGCATACAGTAGGGTCGACAAATATTTGACTTTTTCCTTAATTAAATTTTGTATCATTTGAAAAAAAAAGTTTAAGTAACGTTTTAGCCAAATGGTGCAGACTTAATACTAACACTCACACTATTTTGAAAATTATTTTCAGTGAAACGTCCAAAAGCTGGAGACCCATTCGATTCGTTCCCAAAAAATTTTTGGGAGGACTTCTCCTCACCTTTCACAGAGATACCGGAAAACGAAGATGGCTTGCTGACGGAAAGCACAACTGTGCATGAACCGTTTCCTTTTTTTGCCGACTTTTATACGAACATGAATGTCAGCGCGCAAATTGGGACACATGTGGATTTGCATTGCAGAGTCAACGACTTGCAAGGGAAAACAGTAAGTCGTATATGACAGTTATAAACAGAAAAAGTTTTAAATGGATTTTGAAAATTTTATAGGTCTCTTGGATGAGAAGAAAAGGAGATGATTTAGCACTTTTAACTATCGGAAAGCACGTCTACAGTAGCGATACAAAATATTCTATTGAATTTTTGGATCCGAATGACTGGAAATTAAATATAAAATATATAAGTAGAGAGGATGAAGGAGAATATGAATGCCAAGTTTCGTCTCACCCTCCTCTTATTTTATTAATTAATCTACATATAATTGGTAATATATTTTTAATTCTTAATATTTAATGTTATAAATAATAAAAATTTATATATTTTTTGTTTCATAAATTAAAAAACATATTTGGAAAAAAATGTGTCAGTTGAGCACAAGTATATTTTCAAATGTGCTAGTATCAACATACATATTATGCACTTGAAAATTAAAGTTTTTATTCGTTTAAATGATCTGTAGCACATTTCGCATTTCGTAATGTATTATAATATAAGTAATAACCAAATGCAATTATGAGAACTAATGGGCACTATTAACTATATCCACAGGACCGTTGTTTTGCATAAATGAGCTAGTTTAAAAGTTCGAACGTTAAAGTTATTTTCATATAACGCAAAAACTGCTTTTTCAAACTTGTATTGCTGGTTTCGAAACTTGATTCGAGACAATATTCCTTTTTCTTTTTAAATTTATGGATTATAATTTTGCCTTCTTAAATCGATTTAAATCTCGTTCACTTTGGTTTTTGTTAAAACAAAAGATGATACTACCGATTCTTATGAACTACTTACGTGCTGATGTTGAGGACGATCTGACATGGCATCCGCAATTGGTTGGGGCATCGGCCACCAGCTACTCCAGTGTGCATCTGGCTGTGTCCCGGAGCTTCAGCCTGGGGTAGGTCAATTAGAAGTAGCAAGTGACCATCAATAGCCACGTATGTAGATGTAAAATAAATAAAAAAACTAGTGCGACTGCAAAAAAAAATAAAAATTGATTTTCCCTAGGACACCCTGAAGTGAACTAGAACGTGAAAAATTGAAACAGGGTGCACCACACAGTACATCACTATGCCGACAGGGTGGCGAATCACCATTGTCCCAAGCCTTATCCTTCCATGAGTCTCAGGTGGTATTGAGACTGCTAAACTGTACTCGAAAACCTCTAAATTTCAGACACCCCAAATTCCCTGAAATGCTCTCCAGTTGGCTTCGGTTACAATCAGAATTTAAATATCAAACTTCAGGAAATTCCATCAATTCGTTCCGTAGATATAGTGAAAAATGTAAAATCGGCCCGCAGATCAGGAACGAATTGATGGAATTTTTTTGAAATTTGATATTCGAGTTCTGGTTGTTACCGAAACTAACTGGCGAGCATTTCAGGGAATTCGGGTAGCACAAATCGAAACTCTACTAAGAGCCAAATTTACATTTTTCTAGGTATGTTAATTATAAGCTTACTAAGGACCTAAAAATTGGAAAGAAGTATTTAACAGACATTTTTATAATATTCCGTAACACTTCCACTTAACTAGACAATACACAATGCGGTCTTTTATGTGCTGACCACATCAGATTTTTTTATTATAGCACTTTATACTACATATACATATACATGTATATTAAATAATGAAATATTCTATGTTAATTATTAAAATTAAAATTTATATTTTATTATTGTGTAATTTACTATTCACTAGTATTATTATTTTAATGAAATTTAATTTAAGTGGTTATAATTAGTTATTATTTAAATATTATTTATAATTCTTTTATACTGTTCTCATTTTTATGTTAATTATTTTTCTTAAATTATGAATTTTCCCGTTTTTGAATATTTACTATGGAATTCTTTTGAAATTTTATTTTTTTCTATTTATTTTTACTATTTTTTTTTTCTGACTTTATTTTATTTTCAAAATTACAATTTTTTTTACAGGAGAATTTCGAACAAATTAATTTTTGGTATTAAGTCTATGTGAATTTTATAAAAATTGCAAGGATTTTTCTTTATTATGTAAATTTCAGCAAAAAAAAATTTTTGCTCCTTTTCCAAATTTTTATTTCTTATTTATAGGAATTAGGTACAGTTAAAAATGTATTCATACGTTTATTATTATATAATTTAAATTAAGTTAATGTTAGTTATTTTAGGTTATGTCGACGCGGTTACCGCAAGGTACACATAGGGGGGCAGTAAAGTCCGTTGCGATACCGCCGGATCCACAAAATCCCCCGTCCTCGCGAAAACCAGCCCGAGCCTTTTAGAAACCTAAGACCCCTAGCTTTTACATTTGCCAGATCCGTAATCCGCAAATATAGAAATGACCCAAGGAATCTCCGCCTTCTCTCAGCCAAAACCAAATGAGCAAAGAAGGTAGGCCACCTCCTCCTTGTCATGGCAACTCTTACAGAAATCGCTCGCAGGTCAGCCCATATTCTGGCGTGGTCGCAAATAAAACAATGGCTCGTTATGATCCCTATTACAGATCCAATGTCTCTCCGGCTGAGAGATATCAGATTACTGGTGTGAACAGTCTTGGCCACAGTTCTCTGGTTGTGTTGCACGTGGTTCCGTTCGCCCATCTACGATTGGCTTGCTGAACTGCCGCGTTGCGCAGCAGCAGCCTGTATGCAATCAGAGGCATCCCAAAGTCCCCCAAAAGTCGTCCCATGCCTCGCGAGCTCATTTGCTTTATGTTTCCTTGCATTCTCCTGTGTCACGGAATCCAAATCAGGTTAATTTCGAACTTTTCCGCCAACTTGAAGGTGATGATGAGGCTGGCCCCAAGGGATCGGACTCTCCCCATAAGGTCTCTCATGTTTTACGGCGTGAGCCCTACAGGAATAAGCCACTCCTGATTTTTAGGCTAATTGCTGTTCCTTTCTTTTTCTCCCTTTTTTTTCTTTCTTTTTTCTTTTCTTTCTCGAACGCGTGTACTTTTTTCAAAATCTCTTCACTAACTAACCAAGCTTCTTCCAAATCAAGAAAAAGTTCTAAAAATCACATATACAAAACAAAAAAATCCCCCCAAATTCATAACTGTACAATCTTATGATGTATAAATTAGAAATTTCGATTTCAAAATTCTAATAGAAATACCAAAAACAATAAATCAGATCATGTCAAGAAGAAAAAATTACATGATAAGACATCCAGCACAGATTCCGCATAATATTTCATACAATTCATTGTCATATGATTATACACACAGCTATAATTCACATTAGAATGATAGTATATGACATACAAGGGTTAGCACAAAATGGCGATTAGAATATTTTAAATTGAAATAAAAAAAATAAAATACAAATCATCCGATGCGCGACTATACATATTTTTTTTTTGCTTTCTATGAATATGTATGAATAAGGCTATGTGCACATACATACATAGGTTGCATATACCATAAACAAAATTATTTTGAGCGAAAAAAATATAATTCGTGTAAGAAAAAGAGGTATAAAATATAACCACAAACTTAAGTTATGTAATTAAAATTATTGTTAGGGATGGGGATTTGAAATTTCAAGATAACATGGTACATATCCTATGAGTCTCTTCATCCGGCAGCTCTTACATGCAACTTCTACGCATCGCCAGAACGTTAGCCTTAATAAGGGCTGGCGCAAATTTAGCGCAATACTTTTAACTCGAGTCACTCAGAACATAGTTACGTCGAGATAACATGTTACCCATCGCAAACTTTGGCAACCTTGACCGCAAAACGTGATTTTTTTATTTTTCAAGATCTAAGCCCGAATTAATTGCAACCCATTCATCGTACTGAACTCAACATCCCATCCTCTAAGCATTCCCAATTTGCGCAACAATTCGTAGTCCTTTACGTGATTCTTCAGGGAGAAACATGCAACAGGTACCACAAAATTTTCGTCAATCAACCACGCCAGCACTGCGCCTACTCCTAATTGACTCGCATTATACTGGATCAAAAAGGTTTTCGAATAATCTGGGTTACCCAAAACAGAAACAGACGATAAAAGATTTTTCAACGTATCAAAGGCATACTGAGCGTCATCATTCCAGTGGAATAAAATAGACTTCTTAACAGATTAGTCAAAAGATCGGTCAATGATGCAAAGTTCGAAGCAAACCTACGTTGCCAGCCGATCATGTCCAAGAAACAACGAAATTATTTAACCGTCCTCGGCAATGGATATTCCGCAATCGGCGGAACCTTATCCAGATAAGGGCTTAACGTTCTCTTCCCGACAATGTAACCTAGATACTTGACTTCGGACAGACAAAATTTGCTTTTCTCGACATTTATTGTTAAACTGGCAATCCTTAACCGACGTGTCACATCTACCAGCGTCTGAAATCTGCATAAAGCCTGGGGTACATTACAAAAACCGAAAGGAATAACAAAATATCTATACAAAAGTCGGTTAGGAATAGTAAAACACGTTAAATTACGAGAATTTTCTTCCAAAGGAATTTGACAGATTTAATATACCGATTTAATATGCGGGAGTGGATACGCGTCCTTAATAGTAAGATTATTTACTTCCCCCGCATCCAAACATAAACGTAAATACCTTTGCTTAACATTTTGGGAACCGTCGTTTTACACATCTAACAGCACTCTAATATAACTTTTTTGTAGTGGTATTTGAATAACTTAAACTTAAATATTAAAATTTAATTTTTGGGTACGACTTAGCGGCTCAAAGTTTAATTTTATTTATTTTAATTTTCTTTATTGGGCTTTCTTTACTTGGAGCTCATTAGTATTGTCATACCGCTTCGCTGCAGCGGCGATAATATGCCAACTTATTCTGGCTCATGTACCATTTGCCGGTAACCTGCTCCTTTTGATAATCCACCCCCAGCCTGAAATTCCCGGATACAGCCAGATTTTTGCACTGAGGTAGCTGGTGGCCGATGCACACTTTGCGTCAGTAAAGATGTTATTTCTTTTCTAAATAAAGAACCACACAGAATGTTCTGAAGGAGAATTTAGCTGTTAATTAAAAAACTACTAAAATTATAAAAAGTTAAAAATTGTTTTAGTTTACTTTTTTGATATTTCATGTTTATTATTTTTTCGGCTAATTTTTAAATGAAAATTTCTGTTTTTTCCTATAACAACTGATAATCCAATTAATAATAATTTAAATTAATTATCATTATTTAAAATTTATTAACAATTATTATGATAATAATAGAATTTGAAAAATTTAAATGTTGGAGTTTACGGTTTTATTAAAACCTTCAAAATTTTTAAATATAAATAGTTC